TCATGCAGCTGTGCTCCCTGTGACTCACTCTCTTGGTACAGCTGCAGATTTCTTCGCATTCCATTCCCCATTTATCGCATTGATTCATCGCGTTCTTCGCCTTCTTTAACTTTGCTTGCAAGTACTCCTAACAGTACAAGTGATATTCATTTTCAGGTTATGACCTTAGCTCAGAATGGTGGCCATCCGATTCCAAAGAAACGTATGCCTCTTACGCAGAAATCAGGTGATTTTCCGATCCTTTTTGGTTTCATTGTCCTCACATTGATTATGTCAGTGACAAGGGCTAAACATATAATTCACTTGTGAAAGAGTTTGATTGTGGAATCCCTTAATCATAGATATAAAGTCGCAGTTCACGATGAAAAAAGCCTAATTCCCAATTAGGACGATTCTGTACTCGCTCTGCGCCACATGGGGCGGTCGAATAACGACTTAGCCACCACGTTTACATACAAAAGTGGTCGTTCTAAATTAGTATATGGCCGAAACAATGAACTGAGGTGGGCAGACCATTAAGAACCCTTTACTTTCATTTCCTCAGATGGTTCTGGTTCAAATAATCCGGCCTTAAGCAGTGAAAAGCTGGTCGCTCAGACAAGTACCTATGTAGAATTCGATCTCCAGGACAAGCGTGCGTGTTAGGGCGTCATTTGGTGCTACACCACCTCCATTATGGTGAAATTATTCGTATTGTAGGGATACTTATAAAATCAGAGTCAAGCGTACCGCGTGGGGGAATCGTTCACCCATATGTTCTCCTCTTTTCACTCTACCAGGATGAATTCAATCCTCTGTCGAGTGATTCTCGACATAAGTTCGAACCTGCCTATAATAGCGAGTCAGTAATTTATAATCGTGATCTTGGTTTCTACAAAGAGTTCATGCTTTTATTTTTCAGAAGGTTATGTCGTAGGTACATTGTATTCTCAGTCATCTTCGAACGAATTCTTCAAGAATTAGTGGGCCATTACGGCTGACAGTACTTGCTAGTGCTACTTGCTGACAGTGGTACTTGCTCAAAGGAGTGGAGTGACTGAATTGAATATTGGCCGCATTTTCACTTGGGGAGGCCAGAATCTCCATAATATTCTCCGCTCATATGGTTGTAAGAGCAAGTCAAACTCGTGACTTAATATAGACCAATCTACAAGTTAAGCTTAAGTTAAGCTCAAATATAGACCAATCTAAGGATCAGAACCCAGCTCGTACCATCCTAGCTCAATCAGCACGTTTCGTCACTCTGTATGTAGTGATTGGTACTAGATAACGTGATTGTAAAAGCACTAGTTTCTACTACATCTGATGGCCCTATTGTCATTTTATAGGGTGGATACGTATTTGAACTCGTCCACGATTCTGAATCGGAGTCGGTAGCATGGGGACTTCCCACAGGAATCAGTCTACANCTTGTCCTCACATGTTCGCTTTAATTCCGATAAGGGATAAGTGATAGAGTAAAGTAGAGCTCATACGAAGTATTTCCCATTCTTCTACTAACATCGCCGCTTGACGGTTCTCCATGTGGGTAATGGGGTCTCTCTGATCACCTGTGGGCATCCTCTTGATTCTTTTATTCTTTCCAGAGATGAATCGGGATTTCGGTCGTCAAGTGTGGGCGCCGGATGCTAAAGAAGGGTATGTGCTGGGAACACTTGATGACATTGGCACAGAAGAGATAACCGTCGTGCGGAAGGACGGCCACGGCCAGGTGAGTCCTTTGCTCGATGATTACGTTGGCTGGAAATGAAAATTCGGAAAAAAACACGTGAAGAGGTCATGGAAGTGGTGGAACACCTGGAAATGCGTAGCCTGGCAATGCTGAGTCACGTACTTTGTTATTATCGGGTGCGAGCGAAGCCCTTCGGTCGTTGCCCCCTGAATTCTCTAAATTACAGCGGTAGATAAACCCTTTATGATAGGCACCGTCTCCTTTACCGAAGCTTTTTCGAGTGGTCGCGGTTCAATACCGAACGATCCACAGCGAATAATGGACAATTTATACTACCGCTCCTCCGCTGCGCGATTGAGCGCGGCTGTGCCTCCATAACATTTTATTTTCAAAATATTTTTCCCTCTTTGTTTGGGCTGAACTGATAGGGTCATAAAAACAGCATAATTTGTTGCTTCAAAAGTGCATACACTTCGAAATGATATTCAGTAAGAGCATGAAGGCATTTGTAAAAAAAAAAAAACAAATTATTATTCGTATGCATGGAGCACGCTGAGGGTTCCTGCTTCGTACAAGTGTACTGCTCCATTCCTAAAATGCCATAGAATCGGACGGACCACTTCTGGAATAATTTTTTGTATTTGATGAATCAGTACCCTGATCAACATCATGAATTCCCGAAATGCTTTCCCAAGGATCACCTGTTTTCAGATAGTTCAGCGCATCGGAGCTAGCGTGGAGGGGCGTATCACGAGGTTACATCATAGAAGGTTATGAGGGTACGGAGTACTTGGGGGAAGGGGGTACTTCTCCCAGGATTCCCACGGCTATCGGCAGTGGTTCCGCGGTGACCACGGTACTCTTGAATAGGGGATTCAACCCCTTTCCTTCATAGCCCGCGAATGCGCGTGGTCGGGAGCGACGAGCGCGATGCGATTTTCGGGGATGTTCCCATACCCGAGGGGACACAAATAGTGTTAGTATATCAAGGAATTAACGCGGTGTTACATGTCGTTTCGTGTGTCATCAAAGACATGCAAATTTTCAACTAAGACTTAGAAGGGGGAGGGTGCACCGAGAGTTGGCGAATTTCCAGTTTTTTGCACGAGGTGATAATTTCGGCCACCCCGGTGCTCCTACCCTCCTAAGGCTTAAAACTACATCCCCCTGGGTAAAACCGCAAGAGCGCACAGATGGCCAGTGCTCATCTCCCTCTCTGTCTCTGTTACAGTCCTAGTATAACACGGATTAACACGTAGTACCTTGTTGATTCTTGTTATACTGACCTCGTCATGTGCTCCCACTCCAACTACATTTTCACCGATAAAAAGCTTACCTTCATCTAATCTTCCCAAATCAAGCGGTAGTGGGCCTGTACACTGATCCTAAGCTATGCCCTCTGCCGACGCGCGACCGCTCGCGGCTATGCCATCATAGCAAATCAGACTATGTGTTCTGTTTACCTAAAGGGCTAACGCTGAGCATGTGACACAGTGGTATCCATATTAATTGCTGCTTCGTAACGGGAAAATTTTAAAATGGTTTGAACTTCTTTGCAAATGCCAAAAATGGGATTTTCATCAAAATAAGGCAGAAGTGCTGGGTACATCTCAGAGGTGCTCCTTCAAATCTTGCTGTGGTATGTCTTCAATTCAGATCAAAGCGAGCTATGATGAAGTTTTTCCGGCCGAGGACGATCCGAAAAAAACTGTCGACGATAACTGTAAGTTGATTTCAATGTCAATGCGGAACCTTTGGAGCCTTTCTCATCGTGTATTTTTCAGGTGCACTGATGTATTTAAACGAGGGAACCCTCCTCAACAATTGTCGACAACGCTATTCAAAAAAGCAAATTTATGTGAGTTCATCTATCTGGTTGATTTTACTTAGCGTCATTGAATCCTGATTCAAGCTAAGAGATTACGGTATCCTAATGTGTCCCCGATTTTCAGACATATGTTGCCAATATACTCATATCTATTAACCCTTACGAAGAAATCGAAAATCTTTATTCAATTGATACAATCAAAAAATATCGAGGGAAATCATTAGGACAAATGCCACCGCATGTTTATGCAGTTGGTGAGTTTCCAATCTTTCATGATTTCCATCATCACAATCATCATCACTTAACTGAATCTATTCCTTTCAATGATCTCGAAGGTGGACCTCGTAGTTCAGACAGGCTTTAGGTATAGGGATGTCTGGAACAGGGTGCTGTGACATTTAAAAAAGGCTTAGTGAGTTTTTAACTGTAATATTTTGACATTTCGATCCTCGAAAACTACAAACCTGCTGTCCATGTTGAGTAGATGGAAGGTCTCTCTTTTTGTCAATATGCCAAAGTTAAATGAAAATGTAGTCTCGCAAGGTGAGCCAGTTGTGGATAGAACATCGGCCTCGGACTGGACTCGAACCCATGCTTGTGCTATACGGGCATCGTGTTCTTTTACCCATACTCTAATTTACAGCTTAACGATTCAATGGTGATATTGACTGACCGGCTCACCACGTTGTACTTGTGAGTGTTGATAAGCTATCCTTACTTATACAATACTTTATATAAAGCGCTCGCGTCTGTCTGTCCGTCCGTCTGTCCGTCTGTCTGTCTGTCTGTTTGTACGGAAATTCATAACTTCTGTCTCCGTGGACCTAGGACGTTTAAATTTGGTAGGAGCACAGGCGGCAGGATGGGAACTCATGTGATGGGTGGCAGGACCGGACTCCGCCCATAGGGGGCGGGGTTTGTGCGAACGAAATGTTCCAGTGGAAAATAATGAATCCTGTCTCAGTGGACCAAGAAAATTCGAATTCGGTAAGAGTACCCGAGGCAGGGTTGGAACATTAGTGGTGGGTGGCAGGGCCGGGCCACAGAGGGCGAGGTTGGCGCTAAAATTGCCAATTTGGCCTAGGGCGTTCAAACTTGGCAGGAGCACACTCGGCAGGATGGAAACACATATCGTGGGTGGCAGGACCGGACTCCGCCCTTTGGGGGGCGGGTTTTGTGCGAAATGTCTGAGCGAAAATT